CAATGCAACGCGTGTGTGGGTGTGTGTGGGGGGGGGGGGGATGGGGGGTTGCTGGTGGAGTTCCTCACAGCATTGCCCTCTGCAGGCTCTGCATCTCCCCACCCGGCTCTTAGCACCCTGGGACACTCTTGCCGGTGTCCTGCCCAGCTCCTGGCAACCAGTGACACGACTGGTTGCCAGGAGCTGGGTGGTAAGCCGGCCCAGAACGTCCCAGGTTGCTAAGAGCCGGGCGGTGAGGTGTGTATGGCCCTTACACAGCTCCCTGCACCCGCGTTTTGCAACGCAGGACGCTCTGCATGGAAAGGGGGCGGCAGGTACACTGCAAACATCGTGCAGCAGAGCAGCCATGGCACTCCTCCCCCCACCCCCATGTGACCGTCCCTTTAATGAGGCCACGTGGCTGCCTCATTAAAGGGACGGCCCTGTTTGTAGCGGCTCCGACGAGCGTTATAATCACCTGCAGGGCAGCCATCAGGGGGGTACGGCGGATACTCATGTAAGGGGCCCCGGCAGCCTGCCCGGGTCCCTTACATGGCTATCGACCGACGGTGAAGGGCAAGGAGGCGGAGGCCTAGCCCTCGCAGCGCAGGGCCCCATCATTGCCGGTCCAGCGGCTTTGAGACAAGCTGGGGCCCCATCAGCGACGCTGCTCGTCTGATATCAGACTGGCTGGAAGTGATGTCACGTTAGAGGAGTGACGTCACTTCTGCCCGGTCCGGCGGCAGATGAGGCCATGTGTGCGGGTATAAGGAAGGAAGGAAAGGAGGGAGGGGAGGGATGCAGCCCTGACCAGCCCACCTGAGACCCCTTCAGAGCCCACCATAGACAGTCTCAGATGGGCTGTGCAGCATCTATGGTGGGCTCTGCAGGGTCACTCTCAGGTGGGTCCTGTGTCCAGCGCGTCACTAAGCCCTGCATCCAGCCGCGCGGGGGGGGGGAACCCGGCCTAAAGCCGTGTAAGGGGCCCCAAAATTTCTGATGGCTGCCCTAATCACCTGACAGTAATTTTGTATCCGGCGACAAATCATCGAGTACCACGGTGTTGCGACAGCTGGAATGTGACTGGCTGGTGGAGGTTTCTTATCTCCACACCTTGTTTTTCAAGTCATATAAAAGCATCAGGATGCAAAGGACAGGAAATGATGACATCACGGCGCCAGAGATAAAGACGGACACATTTTGGGTTTACTGGCACAGAATGGAGTTTAATGATGCATCCGATTCCAGGAACGGCCCTTCGACAGTCCTGGAATGAGGACCGATATACAGGTGAGGGAAGTCTAGTGCTGGCCCCTGGAGTCATTATCCACCCCCTCCCCCCCCCCG